TTGTTAGAGGAGAAAGAAAATAAACAAGAAGAGAGACAACAGCAGTTGCATGAAAACCTGCAACAGTGCAGCTAGAACAGCAAAATAAAGAGAGATTACAGCAGTTGTAGAGGAGAAAGAAAATAAACAAGAAGAGAGACAACAGCAGTTGCATGAAAACCTGCAACAGTGCAGCTAGAACAGCAAAATAAAGAGAGATTACAGCAGTTGTTAGAGGAGAAAGAAAATAAACAAGAAGAGAGACAACAGCAGTTGCATGAAAACCTGCAACAGCAAAATAAACAAGAGAGAAAGAATTAACTATTTGCAGTTGTATTTTTTTCTAAAAAACTACAACCACAACATGTATGGCAGGGAGTTCACCATTCACCATTTAAATGAACCATGTGCTATTGAAATGGTTTATGTGCTTCAAAACACAGAAGGTATGATCAAGCACACAACTTTGCTAGATAACATCATATATGGCAATCACATGATAATGCAAATAGATTACATCACCAGATGTTGAAAACTAGTCTGTTTGTTTATTTTTGCTCCCCACTGGCACAGCAGTACTCTGTGGATTTACAATGCTAGAAACCGGTTTTCAATACCAGTGGTGGGCAAAGCACAGATAGCCCTTTGTGTAGCTTTGTGCTTAACTACAAACAAACATTTGCTTATTGTCCAAATCATGAACAACATGTGACTGTAAAAACCATTGAAACAACAGTGACAACAAACCTTGCATGTGGATGGGGGTCCCTAAACATCAATCAGGAGCATCTGAGGACCTAGTTTGATTGCTACTTGCCATCCAGGAAGATAAAGAATAGTTTTTGTATATTGCTCAGATGATAAGTTGGTTACAGGAAAAACTGTAAAACATGTGCTGGATAGTATTACACTAGATTTTCGAAGAGCCTGATGGTGGTAAATCAATGAGTCATAGTCATTATCAATTACTTTGTCAAATGGTTGGCATTGCTGTCCATTGCAAATATGAGAGCTGAATGGTGAATAGCATGATTTAAAGCAACTAAAGAACTCCACACTGAAAAGGAAGGAATTCCAAAACTAGTTGTTTCTAAAATTTGATTGAATGTTGGTGTAATGAAGATGCAAATGTTGCTGTATTATCTTCACTCTGGTAGTTTAGCTGAAGGGTTATATAGATTGTCAAGCATATGAATCCTGGCCAAACTGACAAAGATGAGCATCTGTTACACATCATGATGATGTTTATAGCAACAGAGAAAGAGAGCTAATTGTGTATTTAACTCATTGATGTTTGGACATAAAGTACTGCTCCAACTTTATGAAATATGTAGTTTAGTTTAGATGTGCCAATGTCTATGTGGACATTTGGAGTGGTTAAAGTTTCAGTACTAGTCGAAAGGGAGTTTCAATCCTTATTTTTCAAATTATTATGTATAATTTAATTGTAAAATATCTGCAATGTACTTATATTAGCCACTTTATTAAAAAAATTTGAATGGGGATGATAAATAAAGAACCTTTCTTGTGCCCAACTTTAAGTCTTATGTTAATAGACCAATTTGCAGAAGTATTGTGTACAGACCAGTCCAATTAAATCAAAATTAGTTCTGGGTGCTGGCATATCCTACAACTACACCCATCTCCACGCTGGAACATCTGTTATTTCATTGCCTTGTCATAGAACTTCTTCTGTATTTACCACTCTACATGTTACTTTGAACACAGTAGGATATATCATTGATAAGGACAAATACATCTCATAAATGAGTAGTAGCATGTCTCTCTCAAGCATCAGCATGTTTGGCAAGCAGCCTGCACATCTCTTCTCTGTGGCTTAATGGTAGGTCTGCAGACTTACAATGTTAAACATCAGGTTTTGATACCTGTGGTGAGCAGGGAACAGATAACCAATTAATTGTGTAGCTTTATACTTAACTATAAAAAAACACACTCATTATGCCATCATTACATATGGCAAGTATTCATCCCAATAGTTTCACCCAGGATTAGCAAACTTTACAAGCATCTGTTTGGTAGTCTGTATTACCTATTCTGCCAAACCATCAGATTGGGAGAGATAAGGAGAAGTCTCTGTCTTCACCACACTTTACACTTTATACAACTTGGTGAACAGTTTGCTGTTAAAATTAGCTTCATGGTTCACATATTTAATGTAATTTGCAAAAAAAAACAAAAAACATACATATCTGACATTTGATCTCTATGCAATTCCAATAGGTACACTTGTAAACAAAGCCTTTACACATTTTTTAGAACTTTTCTGCCCATCCCAAAGTATAGTTTTAGCATTTACCCAGACTCTGGCATTTCTTAAAGTAGACTTATCCAATTTTTTTCTCTCACATTCTTTTACTTATCTCCCTATGACTACGTTCAAGAAAACCTATGTTGCAGGGTTGTATGATACCATAGCAAGTATTTTGGACAATAACTAATAAATCTTTGTGTAGCCTCCAAACAAGATAGAACCAATGGCTAAACATAATTGTTAGAAAACATTATTGTCTATTTAATCGTTGAAAAGTAAATAACACTTGAGTAAGCAGTAATACAATTTCTGAAAAAGTGAGTAGCCGAAGGATACTAACACAAAATTTACAAAACTTAGGAAAAGAACAAACCTAAGATTTATTTTTTTTTTAGTTTCTTTTGATGATATATATTTATTCCTGACAGTCTTTTGCATTATATTATGTATGCTTCAAGATTATGGGAATATTCTTTTATTGGAATATATCAAGTACAAATACTTAGGATTAGTGAGTATGGTAAGCTACAATTTCTGAGATTGGAAACTATTCATATCAAGAAAAAGTTTTCATTTTTTTTTTTTTGTAAATTTGTTGGTACACAATCAAATACAAAAATTCCTTAGATATTGAAAAAACAAGCTATTATTATTAAAGAGAAATTGAGCTTGAGCTTGATCAAAAATATAGTTGGTTCGAATTTCATCCAAAGCTATACAAATTGTATGTAAATAAGAGCATGAGGGTATTTAATCTTTCATAATTTCAAATACCTCTTGGATATGAATATAGTCGGTCATTATTTATGTTAGAAAAAAAGGTGTGATTTGAACGTTAATGTATACATAAACGTTTTTTCTCATTCTTATCAAGGCCTATTTACAAGACCTGTACTACCTCCTATGGAAATTGCTATACCATTAACAGTGACTGGAGACCCACAGCTGTTGTCAGGAATTTACATAACATATCTAAATTGAGTAAGTTTTGTTTTGTTAGTTTTAAATCCATGATTTCCAGTTTTATATACTCTAAAAGAGAAGCTCATTAATTTTATATGTATATATGTAGTTTTTGAAAGACCAAAATCATTGTTTTCCTCATTCCAAAATGTACTTACTTTATTTCAAACTGGACTACAATTTTCTGTCGTCATCTCAATTTTATAAAAATTGATTTCAGTTTCTTAAAAGACGAGCTGAAGAAAAAGATTTATGTAAATTTTGTGGTATTCCGATGGATAGAATTAGTATTCAGAAACAAATTGACTTGAAGTGATTTTGGCTAGCTTCAATGAAATAACTAGTGATTGTTGTTGTGTATAGAATTAATTCATTCTCTGTTGTAATATGTGTTTCTTTTTTTTTCATCCTAGAAAGAGGTAATAAGATTCATATGTATCTCTACTTATACCTGGACCCAAACGTCAGTTTTCCTGCAGGTAATAATGCAGTTATTGGATTTAGTACACCAGACTCAATTCCTGATATGAAAAACGATATGTATCTTTTGAAACCTGGGAAAATGTATACTTTTTCTGTATCTCAGGTAAGTAACAATTGCAGTGTAATTATTTAAGTTTATTAGATATGTGAACATCAAAATTTGTTCATTATACTACATTGTGAACAATGTACACAGTTACTGCCAGTATCTCTAGCAACCTACTTTCAAATATATACACCTTTAATGATATTGTTGTTAATATAAAACACTAATGATATTGTTGTAGCTAATTCAAGTTCATATATACTGCTGTACAACCATGGTTAATGCTATTGCTGTATGTCAGTTATATCCACATACTTAAGCCTTTAATTATATTTTTATCATTATACTAGGCCCAAAATAGTAAGCCTGCACTAATATTATTGTGTTTAAATTGCTTATATATATAATTACATGTGTGTGTTAAATTTAATTACAAAATCGTAATTTGACAATAAATTTACTTGTTATGATAACATTGTCAATAGAGTAATATTTTTACTGAAAATATTTTTGCAATCTACAATTACTTAGTGATGTATAAGAAAATTAATAATGGTTTTCTACACATTATTTCAAGGATAATTATAGAGCACGTTTTTCAACTTTCTGTCAATAGTAGAGCATACTGTTGAACCTTAATGTTGACAGTATTAATGAGTAAAACATTTTATATTCATAAAAGCTGCTGCAATACAATGTGCAGTAGCTATCAGATAATTTGAACTGTAAATGTAATATCTTAAGATGTTTATGAATACTTGAATACTATGAATTAATGTAACAAATTTACTTCTGGAAATTGTACTGCAAAAACTGAAGGATATTTTAATTATGTTAATAACTTTGGTATATCAGTTTGGCATGCTCACTTTAGTATATCTAAGTAAGTATAAATAGGTACAGAAGGTAATCTTATTTTATTACACTATACATATTTAATTTATGTGTGTGTGTGTGTGTGTTTTTATAACCAAAGGAAGTGGTTGCTGACTCCAGCTTCCTGGGAAAGTGCAATACTTACAATGCTGCATCCAGTAATAAAGTGAGCCAATGAAGGTTTAGTATTTACTTAACACATTAATGTATTTCAATTTTGAGACAAGTTTAAAACTAGTTCATGTCTCAAAAGTGTTCTGTAATTATAGGAACATGTTGAAACCCTAATCTTGGTCCTCTTGGGAAAAGTAACAGTCAGCATCTATAGTGTGAGCCATGTATTAGGATTTTGATAGAGTGCTTGATGTGACCTGGGGATCACTGGTGTAGTTAGCTGTTAGTATATGATAATTCAATGGATATGTATATAATGCATGCAGTTCAATATAAAAGAAATATATTTATATATATAGTATTCTGTAGATAAATGTTTAGTTTGTTTAGAGAAAATATGTTTGGCATAGATCTTTATAAAGGGGATGAATAAATATAGAGATTAAAAATTTAATTCAGCAAATTAAACCTAACATTTTAGTTTTGTATCTCATTTAACCAAAATATTTCTGTTTCCTAGACTATTTCACACCTGTTACCACCCCCTTATGTCACTAACTGTACTGACTATGATAAAATGGGAAGGGCATCTTTTCGGGGTGGCTTACTAACACAACAGGTAAGGCATGATGTGTACATTTTATGTAAAGAGTTCGTATTTAAGTTTTAAGTTCAGCAGTAAAACATAAAGGAATTACGGTACAAACCACCTGTTTAACAACATTATATATATATATATTAAATGCAGAACAATGTGTGAGTAGTTAAGATATTTAAGTTGTGCTATTTAAATATAAAAATTGGTCAGTTTTGTCAATAACACAAATAACAATACATGCAACTTCTTCCAGTAGTCCAGTAATAGTGACTCTACCCACTGAATATATAATTTCTATTTTTTTGATATCTTCATTTGAAAATTTAACTAATAAAAGGTAATGAAATCTACTTATTGGAAAGGAACGAGTATCATGTCAGTGAAGTATACAATTTAAGACTAAACTCCAATTTGCTGAACTACATGTAGCATACAACATAACTTTTTGTAACACTACTGATATTGTGAATCTTATATTAAAAATTCATTGTTGACAACAGGAAGAACATTGACTAGTCCTAAAACCTTCAAGAGCTGTAGCCTCTTGTACTCAGAGCAATTTTTCTAGTCGTAAGTCTTCCCTATAAATGTCCAAGTAACAAGTAAAACGTTGCAAAGGCTACCTCTTTCAGCCTTTGCTTATCCTTACAGGCCACTATTTTTGCTAAGGGGGTGGCTATTCTTTCACTTGGTCATGAAACCTTTGAAAATATATCAGTTTACAAGGTCACTTTAGGTTGTGCAGAAATTGTATTTGTCAAAAGGGCCTGTGATTTTATTTGAGACAATTTTGAACACTTAACTGTAAACCCAACTGTTTCTTTGGTAGTCCCTGCATAAATATATCAATCATATCAACAGATGTTCCAGTGAAAGATTGTTGTCTTAGATTAAAACTTTATTAGTATGTTTGTTTTTGTCTGTATTTTCACAACATAAAAGGACAATATTAATAATGTTATGATTTTATAGGGCATGTACCAGTAAAAGTAATGTGAGGTTTCCCTGTATTAGGTTTGTTTTTGTTTTGTTTTTTTAATTTCGCGCAAAGCTACACGAGGGCTATCTGCACTAGCCATCCCTAATTTAGCAGTGTAAGACTAGAGGGAAGGCAGCTAGTCATCACCACCCACCGCCAACTCTTGGGCTACTCTTTTACCAACGAATAGTGGGATTAACCATCACATTATAATGCCCCCACAGCTGAAAGGGCGAGCATGTTTGGTGTGACAGGGATTCTAACCCGGGACCCTCAGATTGCGTGTCGAGTGCCTTAACCACCTGGCCATGCCGGGCCCCCTGTATTAGGAATTACAATACAAGTATAAAAAGATGAAGAGAGTAGAAAAAGAGGATTAAGATCTTAGGTCATGAAAAAATAAGTGAAATAGTTATGAAATATAATAGTAATAATATATATTTTATTTTGAATTTCATTTTAAGACTAAAATGATATCATTACCCTAAATGGAATATAAAAATTATGGAGCAGCTGTGTTTTAGTGGAAAAAAAAAGCTGTTATTAAAGCAAGAAAATAAAACTTTTACAATTAATGAAAATGGCTCTATTCCAATGTTGAAAAATTGCAATTAAAACTACATGACACATAAACAAAATCATAATTAAATTCTAGCTATTCTGCATACAAGCTAAAGCAGTAAAACAAAAACCTACAGCTGGACATCGTGAAACTTTATGTACAATACCAAAAGCCAGTGAAATGTTTAAAATCAAATAATGAAAAAAAAGACATAACAGACCTGTGATGAAGATTGGTGCTAGCAGCTCAAAATGCAGTTAAAAAAAAAAACCTCCTAGACAGGTGCAGTTTAGTAACAATGCCTTTCAAGTATAATCTCCTTTGTCAAAACTTTCTCTCATGTAAGAACAACAACTTGCAAAAGATCACAAAGTTAGGCCAGATTTAAAAAAATAGAAATAAACTATAGACATTTAAAATTTTCTTTGTAATAATTGTAGAAAGCATATCTCAAGTTATTGGTTTTTAGTAAAACGTCTAAATAAATAACTGAAACTTATATTTGGCTAAATATTTAAAACTGTGATATCGGAATATACTGTGGGTTTTTATTATTTGTAGAACATTGCTTAATGCAACCTCAAGTTGTTGTTCACATAATACCTAGTCCTAGATTAATGTCTCAAGCACGTATTCTGAGAATGACTTGTCACATGGTAGCATCGGTTGAGCAGTATAAATACAAACCTAAATTAAGAAATACAGGACAAAGCAAATCATATAAATCTAGCTTAGTTTAGGTAAGATAAATGTACAAAGTCTTATATTCTGCACTCAGAGTTCTTTTTCAGCAAATAGGTACATAGTGTTGTTATGTTAAGCATATTTTAATAAAGATTGTTGTTTTTGTCCATTTTGTTCATTTAGTAAGTGTTTTAGCATTACTACATCGATCTATATCTTGAATGATTCTCCTCTTTAGCAGACATATCCACGGAAGCTCTACCACAAAACATTTGATTGTATATTATAACTTTATTGTCTGTAGCCAGTCATGACTATGTGTGTGCACATTCCTTTCTTCTATAACTTTTTACTTTATGTTCTAGACCTGTTATATGGAGTGTGTTGCCAACCTAACTTTCGAGATTTGTGGTTGTATTTATCGAGATTATCCTCATTTGTTTGAATTACCAGGGCCAGTTCGTCTCTGTGAAAAGTCTAAGGAAGAAGGAGGTAGCTCTGTATTTTTGTTCATTTAAACTTTATTAAAAATATTATTTGTGAATGTTGTTTAAACTATATAGATTATATATATATTCATAATGTATGGAGAATACAGAGTAATACAGTTTTATCAATAATCAGATTCAATAGTAATATTTCATAAACATTATCATTTTTAATACTTTTTGAAAAATGTAAAATGAACTTTACAAGAAAAATAATTATGAAGATATACTTCAAAAGAAGTGGATCCTGTTTAACCTATTCAAAAATTGTTTGCCTTTATAAAACACTATTTTTTAACAGAAAAGCTGTTTTTCTCTGATTTTTTTTTTAAAACTGGTATTCCATTTGATAAGAAAATACATTTGCTATAAGTTAATCCAAAGAATAAAATTAAAGTTTATCAAGCATTTTCAGTGATCATCATATGGTGTTACAGAAATTATATATATGTTTCTTTTGTTAATTGTCTGTGTTCTGTAATCTTTAAAACAAAACAGTAAATCCACTTTCTTTGCATTTTAGGCCTCAGTTCCATTAGTTGCTTATCACTATATTAATCTTAAGCTGAAATATTAATAAATAAAAACATAAATAATGTTTACATTTGTTTCTTTTAATACGTCACAGTGAAATGCAAGTCACTAAATACTATTATAATAAACTTAACGATTTTCAAGAATTACTTAACTACCATCAATTGAAAATACTGGGAAAAAAATGTAAAATAGAAAAAAAAAGAAGAAACTATGTTAAATAAAGTTTATCTACTAATGTTTTCAGAGCTCAAAAGACTTTGACAAACATTGTTAAATTGGCTATGTAAATAATAATGATTTGAACTTTTTAACTAGTTATTTAATCACTGAACTTTTAACAGTAGACATAAGACTTAGCGATTCCTCATTGTTTCATAGATGCCTTCAGAAAATAAGAATATCATAGTAATCTGATAAAACAAACAAAACTGTCATCCTGGATAAATATACCAATGAAACAAAACTGAAGGATTTACTGCTGGACAAATGTAACTACAAGAAACTCAAAGCTAACAGTGTTCAAAGAAAATATCAAATTTAACTAATTTTTCTGAAAAATTCTATCTGCTTACCTTGATTTCTCAAAAATCTTAACAGATCAAATTCTCCTGCAGCATGTGTGCACTTCCTAAAACATAAGGACGGTTGCCTTCTTAGATCTATAATTTTAAATGTAGAATCTAATACTTGCTATCCAATTGGCTAATATACTGTTACGTCTCTGTTCGCTAGTTAATTTTCCGTAACTTCGTTCTGACAAAACTTTAGCGACACAAGTCCTTTCTTAATAAAACTGGTTTATTCTTTCCGAATACAACTTTACGATACACTTAATTTCAACAGTCACGCTATAACAAACGCATAACAACGAACGTCTCACGTGCTCAACTTCAACAATACTCTCTGACTGCAGTTCAATTACTCCTTACCTCGTCATGTTGTGACCATCTTATATATATACCAGACTACCCCAATCTAGTAGTCTCCCGATAATTCACGAAGGTTCGAAAGAAGGACGTGGCGTGATACTAGTCATGTGACCTTGCTGACGCAACACTGCCCCTTCTTAGTATTGTTCGTCCCGAACAATAGCCACTTACTGGTCACTGTCTCGTTGGCTTCTGCTTCACGTGGAGTTCATCTGCTTCATCATGAAATGTCCTATCATCGATGACAATCACATAAGTGGTAGTAACTTCATCAAGAGCTTCACCGTTTCCCTTCTCAAAACTGATAGAGTTTCTTCTTCGACAGTGGCTTCTTCAGGTGGCACGTCTTCAGCAGCGTCATTTGTTCTGTTGTCCACTTGGTCCCAACTGAAATGTCCTGGACCGTGATAACGCCAAAGCCTGTTGGCATGCACCACTTTTAGCTTACCTCGCCGACCACATTTTACCCGTAAAGTCACGTCTGAGAGACAATCCACTATGTCATATGGGCCTTCCCATGGAGAAGACAACTTAGGAGAATTCCCTTTGGTCTTCCTGGGATTATACAACCACACCTTGTCTCCTGGTTCAAAGCTGACTTCAGTAGATCTCTTATCATAAGATAACTTCATCGAATCAGCAGACGTTTTCAAGTTTGAACGCACTTGATGGTGAATATCATCCATCCTTTCCGATAACACTTTCACAAACTCTGACATATTCACAGGCAACTCTTCATAAGGTGGACGTCCTTTATGCTTGGGTCCCCTTTTAGCACTACGTAGACTGCATCTCCTGCACCATTCTTCCAGATCTCGCCTCATACCTATCCAGTAAAATCTTTGTCGGATGTGACTCAAAGTCTTCCTAATTCCGAGATGTCCTACTGTTA